GTCAGCCTTGCTGCTCCTCTGATGCTGCTTGGCCTGCTGTGTTCATCCAGCTGTACACCTTGTTATCTCAGATTCTCCACCATCTGCAGTTCCTACTATCACTGGTGAATTCAGCTTTGTTTTTCCAAGTGTTCGGTTATCTCCTCCTTTATGATTGACTCCCGTAGTTCTCTTATAACGTGATAGTTCTTGTGTGACCTTGCGCTACAGAAAATAGCATTATAGGCAAAGTGCTATACCTGTACAGCAGAATGTTCGCATTATCCAAACAGCATCCACTATTCATCAATCATGTTACAGCCAATTTGCGTTAACAAAATATGCGTTATAGCAGAACCACCTGTATCCGTTTTTTAGATAAGGGTGCCACATTAGCATGTTTCCATTCCATTGGTACCTTTCCAGAAGCTAGGCCATTTTGGAATATCATAACTAACACGTTCACTATCTCTGCTTGCACCTCCTTTAACACTGTAGATTGCAGGACATTAGGCCCCAGAGACTTATCTGCACCTAATCCCTTCGTTTTACATAATACGTTCTCCCTCCGCCCCCCCGCAAAAAAAAAGCCTTGTAATTTCATTAGGTTCCTCTGAAGTAACTGGAGTTTTTGGTGTTATGGACCAGACTAAACCCCTTCAAAACATACCAAGGAGATTGCTTTTAAAGTTAGGTTTTAGGCTATGTAAGGTGCTGCGTTCCAGATGTGATTTGATTGGTCAAACTACTAGGCTTTAAGCAAAACACACTTTATTCTTACACCATAGTTAAAATACAGACAAAAAATTGGCATTGCTTTAATTCTTTTGAAATACTTAATAATATAATATTTATTTCAACTGCGAATCATCGATTGTTCTAATATAGCAGCATCCCTTAAACACACTCTTGGGAAAGGCAAATTCAGCAAAACAGAATCTGAGGTTCTGAGGAAGGGTCACTGGACAGGAAACGCTGAGTCTGATTTCTCTCCACAGATGCTGCCAGACCTGCTGAGTTTTTCCAGCAATTTCTGTTATTGTTTCTGATTTCCAGCATCCACATTTCTTTCAGTTTTTTGTTTAGCTGCGTAGAATAGTTTAACTTTGCCCCATGTTAATGATTTGGTTCTTGATTTCAGGTAATCCAAGAGGAAGGAGGAAATCCTGATGAAATTTTGATCAGCCCAGAGACTCCAAACAACAGAACGTCAAAGAAGATCGGTAAAGGTAGGAGAAAATAAGTTGCCAAGATCTTTAAAGCTTTGCTTCAGTTTGTTTTATTGTGCTTGCTTCTTAATTTGCAATGTTATTAGAAAGTGATGTTTTCTCTTGAATAACTGTTAGTATCAATTAGTATACACTGTAAATTGAGAAGATTGATAGATCCTCTTCCTACATCAGCCACCTTTGGCACCCTCATCATGGATAGAAGAGCATAGAACTTTACAGCACAGGAACAGGCCCTTCGGCCCTTGATGTTGTGCTGAACATTCGCCAAATTAAACTAATCCCTTCTGCCTTCCCTTGGTCCATATCTCTCCATTCCTTGCGTATTAATATGTTTATCTAAAAGTCCCTTAAACGCCCTTATTGTATCTGCCTCCACCACCACCCCTGGCAGCAGGTTTCAGACTCCTACCACTCACTGTGTAAAAAAACTGGCCCCTCATACCTCCTTTGAACTTCTCCCCGTCACCTTAAATGCATGCCCCTTAGTATTGGACATTTCAACTCCGGGAGAAAGGTTCTAACCGTCAACCCTATCTGTGCATTTCATAATTTTACAGACTTCTATCAAGTCTCCCCCTAGCTTCCGCAACTCCAGAGAAAACAACTAGAGTTTTTCTAGCCTCCTTATAGCTCATGCCCTCTAATCCAGGCAGCATCCTGGTAAACCTCTTCTGCACCCTCTCCAAACCTCCACATCCTTCCTGTGATGTGGCAACCAGAATTGATTGCAGTACTCTAAGTGTGGCCTAACAAAGTCTTATAAAGTCGTAACATATCATCCTGACTCTTGTATTCAGGTCCCCAACAAATAAAGGCAAGCTTGCCATACGCCTTCTTTACCACCCCATCTAGTTGTGTGGCCACTTTCAGGGAGCTATGGACTTGAACCCCAACATCCCTCTGTACATCAATGCTGTTCAGGGTCCTGCCATTAACTGTATACTTTTCGTTAACATTTGATTTCCCAAAGAAGATACTTTCAATCAGTATAGGCTACATTTATGCCCAGCTGGCAGCTGTTAGTTGTCTTAATGCACTACACTGTCCAGACTGTGGCAAGCTACAATTACTTCTGGGAAATGAAAGT